GTCGTCTTCGCCGGACAGAGGCGGTTGGCCACGGTGGCGGGGCGCCCCACCGAATCCGCGATCTCCCCGACCCCCGCGATGCCCTCCGCGCGCATCCCGGTCGACGGCTTCGCGGTTCGCACGCGCATCTGCCATCAAGGTACGCATCGCCTGCTGCAATTCCTCGATCCCGGTGTTGATGTCAGTGAAACGTTCATCCATCCCTTGAAATCGATCTTCCATCATCTGGAATCGTTCTTCAATGATGTTGTCGTTCCTTTTCGGCGGCATCGTGGATCGCTGCTGGACTCTGGATACCAACTGATGTAGAGCGTAATACGAACGGGAGATAAATTGAGATACTCTCTCAAGAACTGATAAAAGATGAGATGCTCTCTCAAAAAAGATAAATTTTTCAATCGTCAAAAACTAAAAGTCCCTCACCCTTCCAACAGCATATAAATGAAAAGGAAAATAGAACTTCCTAATCTTGCCCCACAATTGCGAGATAATTATTTTTCTACCTCAAAATACTAATTATTTCAGAAAATAAAATAAAAGAGTACGAATAATAATGCGACATCACAACCGACTAAACCCGAAGACGGTCATATTTATTCAAATATGCAATGGCGGTCTCGTCTTCATCATCAATGGCGGCAACATCACATATAACTAGCCCTTCCAACTTCCATATTTATAAAAGCTACAAAAAATAACAAGAGCAGCCATTACAGAAGCATCACATTAAGGCACGGGCCACGCCAACCTATTGGGTGGATAATTGAAGCAATAACGATAAGCACGCCATGGATGACGGATCTCGTTTGGGCAGATGGCACATTCACTCTCTGTAGTCAAAAACAACAAGATGCATTTATTAACAACAGGTTAGGAAAAATTACGAAGCCAAATAATAATAATAATGTAGTAATAATAATAATGATAATTATACGCATTTATCAATTTGATGTACTGGGAATGGATGATGTGAATAGTTATAAAACGTAATCTAACCCGGATAACCATCTAGCCACCGCCCATTAGTCTTCTCCCGATGTTCTTCAGGCTCCGCAGGTAACAATGTAGCAAGCACATATTTGTCATCATTCCCTAAATAGAGCTCAGCAAACATAAGGCGTATTCTTTCCATGCAACTCTCACCCACCATTGCCTCAAAGTTCACATGCACCCAACGTGTACTCTTCTCGGTCAAGTCCATTAAACGACCAGCACAAGTAAAACTGTTGCATCCGAAAGCCCTTTCAAACTTCAACTTTGTTCCCTGTTTTTTTTTTTTTTTTTNAAGATAAGGAACGAGAGAGTATAAATGACTGGAGGCAACGAAAAAAAAAGAATAAAAATTTTAGAAGAGAAAACTCACGTGTTTCTCATTGTAGTCCTGCACTGCGAATTGTGACAATTTGACCGCATCATCTTCAGACAAAAGCTTAGGATCACTGGCCACACTGCATCATGAAATATATACACACATTAGCTTTGGTTTGATTTATTAATTTATCAATCACCACAAGGATACATAAATCGAGTAGAGATGAAAAAGAATTACGAGGCATAAAAACTAGTGTTCTAGAAGTTAAGATTAAATACCTTATTTTTTCAGCCGATTCATGCAAATCGGAGGCGGCCAGCCGGCGTCTAGTCGACCACCTAGGAAAGTATTTATTACAGGGATAAAAACCAGCACGAAATCCATAACGAGGATGGCTTATGAAAGACCAGCATTTCTGACAACCATTAGCTGCACCAGAAACAATTGAGTTCAAATTACATTCAGGTTAATAAATCAATAACTATCCACAGACAGCAAACACTAAATAGTAAAGTAAACCAAAGTTGCAATACTCTAGCATGTATAAACTTCTTTAAATTTGCCAAAGTTATTGTATCATCATTTCGTAGAATTAAAGCTTAAAAAATTAAACAGAAAGGAAAATCAATAAATCACAAGAGAATGGAACCAAAGCATCTCTCAGATATAGTTGTAATCGGTGCTTGCAAATATAGCCACACACATGACATAACAGATATGAATAAAAAAGTGACTCAACAGCACAATGATATAAAGTGGCATTACACTTATCTGTAGGCGCAACAAGTGACATTGTAGAAAGAGCATATGTTCCTTCAGTTTTAATTGATTCAACAAATAAAAGAAGTGGTTTTTCATCACCAGGACCCACACTGCGCCGCCTGGCCTCAATATTCAAATGTCTCCAAATACAATGAACGTGAGCAAAGTCAAGACGACAACCGGGGCCAATGATATGCGTTTCCTTGCCGTCCAAAACCCTCACAAACTCCAAGTCAGTTCCCTAGGGAATCAAGATTATAATGAAGTAGTTCAATAAATTTTAAATGAAACGAGCGAAAGCAAATTGTATTGATGAGGACAGAAGAAATACATGTTTGTTGTTGTATTCGCATAATGCAGACTCGGCTATCTCCTTTCCAGATAAATATTTAATCACTTGGCCCACTTCCTCGGGGGTTATAGGATGGCTTCTGCAATACATCAGATTAAATTATGTGGTAAACATCAATACCGCATGCAAATTACATTGGAGGACAGGCTGAAAAACTATTGAATGGGATAAATGAGTAATTAGAGGTGGTTATAAGCTAAAACCTAAAGGAAAAAGACTCCGTTAAGTTTAGATTAGCTTAAGGAAACAGGAAGAATAGAAAGATAAAAAAGAAATAAACCTCTTCGAGTAATAACGAGGCGTCCGCTTTCGCCAGGGCTTTCTAAGGCTTCCCAATGGGGCTGTTCCCTAAGAAGACATATGTTGAAAGGATGAGATTATATCGTGAAATTATCATAGGAAAGGAAAAGAGCACGCAAAATATGCTACCTCCTTCGGCTTTTGACTCAGCTCATTGTTGGGAAATTTCGACTTTTCGGAAGGTTTATCATTGTTTTCCTCCCTGAATGAATTCTCAGATTCATATTATATCCGTTTATTAACTTAACAGAATTGTAGAAAAGAAAAGGTTGATAAAATAACAAAATAAATTAAAGAAAAATGGGAAAAAAAAAAAGGCAAACAAAAAAATGGCGGTGTAGGGCAAAGCAGCTTCAGAAACTTTGTATCAAATGAAGCACAGATTAATAGCCACTGAAACTTATGTTCAATCAATATATCAAAGCGCCTAATTTTTTGAAATGAAATCTTTACAACAAGCTTACATAAGCTACAAGTGGAATATAATCGTTCAATAAGAATTAGAAGAAGTCGACGACCACTCACCTCAACAATTTCCGTTTGCTACTCCTGGTCAGCGGCATTTTCGTTCCGATAATGATGAAAAATCTTAAGAGGAGAAGTATAAGAGCCTGCAATCAAGAAATCGGAATCTTTAATTAACCATAATAATACTGACGCGGAACCTGAATAGGAATTAGATTTCGATTTTGGACAATGTTTGATATAAATTTAGCCAACATTCATTTGAACCTCAGTTTGTAAAAGGATATGGAAGTGCCGATCGATGGAGAGAGAGGGTGTACCTGATGACCGAGCGTTCGTCGCCAACTTTGGCCAGGGATTTCTGGAAAAGAAGCTATGGGTTGATGGTGATGATAATGGATACAATTGAATTAATTATCCATTGCACGGTCCCATATTTATAAAGTCACAACAGTCCTTGTTTAAAAAGGAAAACCCAAAAAAAAGGAAAACCCATAGATGACAGGGTAAAGTCATAAGTATCCTATCCTAGTTTACAAAGGAAAACCCATTGACAATTGACATGATACAGTGCATGTCATATTACTGTAACCGATTAATACAAGGAAAGAAAACCTGGCTCAGCTTTCCAAAAATTATATTTTTTAAAAAACAATAGAAAAACAGTCTGACGGTTAATACAAATATTTCTTTGGGCATGTAGTGTTACACGCAGCGATACACGTCAAATTTAATTTTCTATGTCACAAATATGTTCAGTTATAATAAATCCTTTTATTCTATGGTTTTAACTTTGGTATTAATAGAGGCCTACTTGTTCTATATTCATGTTGTAACATCACTTCAAATTAGTATCTCCAATATTTTATTAGTAACCCACAAAATTTGAGCTATTATATTATCACCAACAAATAATATAAATTTATGTTTTGTTTAAAAGTATTCAAATTATTATCACCGATAGTTTAATAGCTAAGGACAAAATTGACATAATAATAAATTAAAAAAATCCCTCGGATGATACAAACAAACCAGAATTCTAAAATTGTCGAAAACACAATAATAATCCTCACAATAAATGATGGGGAATAAAGGTCTCAACCGATAGTTTGTTGGGGAATAAAGGTCTCAACCGATAATAATAATAATAATAACAACAATAATAATAATAATAAGAATAATACATAGATGTATAAACCATAAAGAGTTCCACAAGCATTTATCAATTTTATGTATAGGGAATGGATGATGTGAATAGTGATATATCATAATGTAACCTGGGTAACCATCTCGCCAACATCCATTCGTCTTCTCCCGATGTTCTTTAGGCTCCGCGGGTAACAATGTAGCAAGCACGTATTTGTCATCATTCCCTAAATAGAGCTCCGCAAACATAAGGCGTATTCTTTCCATGCAACTCTCACCCACCATTGCTTCAAAGTTCACATGCACCAAACGTGTACTCTTCTCGGTGAAGTCCATTAAACGACCAGCACAAGTAAAACTGTTGCATCCGAAAGCCCTTTCAAACTTCAAGTTTGTTCCCTGATTTGTTTTTGATATACAGTGAAAGATAAGGAACGGGAAATGACTGGAGGCAACGAAAGAAAAGAAAGAATAAAAATTTTAGAAGAGAAAACTCACATGTTCCTCATTGTAGTCCTTCAATGCAAATTGTGACAATTTGACAGCATCATCTTCAGACAATAACTTAGGATCACTGGCCACACTGCCTCACGAAATATATACACACATTACCTTTGGTTTGATTTATTAATTTATCAATCACCACAGGAATACATAAATCTAGGACAGATGAAAAAGTATTACGAGGCATAAAAACCAATGTTCTAGAAGTAGCTAGGCGCCTGACCAGCGCCCAAACGAGGCTTAGAAATTAAGATCAAATACCTTATTTTTTCAGCCGATTCATGCAAATCGGAGGCGGCCGGCCGGCGTCTAGACGACCGCCTAGGAAGATATTTATTACAGGGATAAAAACCAGCACGAAATCCATAGCGAGGATGGTTTATGAAAGACGGGCATTTCTTACAACCATTAACTGCACCAGAAACATCTTAGTTCAATTTACATTCAGGATAATAAATCAATAATTGTCAACAGACAGCAAACACTAAATAGTAAACTAAACTGAAGTTGCAATACTCTAGCATGTATATAGACTTCTTCAAATTTGCCAAAGTTATTGTATCATCATTTCGTAGAATTGAAGCTCAAAAAAATTAAAGTAACAGTAAGAAAAATCAATAAATCGCAAGAGAATGGAACCAAAGCATCTCTTAGATATAGTTGTAATCGGTGCTTGCATATATAGACACACACATGGATATGAATAAAAAAGTGACTGAACAGCGCAAAGATATAAAGTGGCATTACACTTATCTGTAGGCGCAATAAGTGACAGTGTAGACAGATGATATCTTCCTCTAGTTCTAATTGATTCAACAAATAAAAGAAGCGGTTTTTCATCACCAGGACCCGCTGCGCCGCTTGGCCTCAATATTCAAATGTCTCCAAACACGACGACCGTCGGCAAAGTCAAGACGACAACCGGGGCCAATGATAAGCGTTTCCTTGCCGTCCAAAACCCTCACAAACTCCAAGTCGGTTCCCTAGGAAATCAAGTTTATAATGAAGTAGTTCAATAAATTTCAAAAGAAACAAGAGAAAGCAAATTGTATCGATGAGGACAGAAGAAAGACGTGTTTGTTGTTGTATTCGCATAATGCAGACTCTGCTATCTCCTTTCCAGTTAAATATTTCATCACTTGGCCCCCTTCCTCGGGGGTTATAAGCTGGCTTCTGCATTACACCAGGATAAATTATGTGGTAAAGATGAATACAACATGAAAATCAAATTGGAGGACAGGCTGAAAACCAATTAAATAGGATAAATGACTAATTAGAGGTGGTTATAATCTAAAACCTGAAGGAAAAAGATGAAAAGATTAATGGAGGTCTGTTAAGTTCAGATTAGCTTAAAGAAACAGGAAGAATGGAAAGATAAAAAAGAAATAAACCTCTTCGAATAATAACGAGCCATCCGCCCTCGCCAGGGATTTTCAAGGCTTCTCAATGGGGCTGTTCCCTGAGAAGACATATGTTGGGAGGATGAGATCATATCATGATATAATCACAGAAAAAGGAAAAGAGCACGCAAAATATGCTACCTCCTTCGGCTTTTGACTCAGCTCATTGTTGGGCACTTTCGACTTTTCGGGAGCTTTATCATTGTTTTCCTCCCTAAATGAATTCTCAGATTAATATTATTATCTGTTTGTTAACTAACAGAATTGTAGAAAAGAAAAGGTTGATAAAATAACACAAAAATGAAAAAAAAAAAAAAAAAAAAAAGNGAAAAAAAAAAAAAAATGGCGGTGCAGGGCAAAGTAGCTTCAGAAACTTTGTTTGAAATGAAGCAAAGATTAATAGCCACTGAAACTTATGTTCAATCAATATACCAAAGCGCCTATTTTTTTGAATGAAATCATACAACAAGCTGCTCAGATAAGCTACATATGGAAGATAATCATTCAATAAGAATTAGAAGTCAACGACCACTCACAACATCAATTTCCGTTTGTTACTCCTGGTCAGCGGCATTTTCGTTCCAATATTGATGAAAAAACTAAACCGGAGAAGTATAAGAGCCTGTCACCGTTGAAATCAACGATCAATCATATGACCGCTCCCTGCAATCAAGAAATCGGAATCACGAATAACCATAATAATACTTACGCGGAACCTAAATAGTTTTTAGATATCGATTTTGGACAATGTTTGATAGAAATTTAGCCAAGATTCATTCGAACCTAAGTTTGTAAACGTGCCGATAAGAGAGCGTGTACCTGATTACCGTGCGAACGTCTCCTGTCAATATTGGCTGGGGTTTCTTGGAAAAGAAGCCTTGAGGTTGGTATTGAAGATGAGTGATGGGCCTATTATACTATGGGTCAGCTATTGGGCTTCTAATCTTGATTGTAGAATTAATCCCGTATGTTTGCCTAGTTTTATTAGGGAATGCTATTGCTACACTGTTGCCTGCATCGGCCGAAGAATTAGCTTTTGGACGGTGGGTAGATGGTTCCCGGGTTAGATTATGATAATTCACGTACGATTCACATCATCCAGTAATCCCAATTCGTAAATTGTTAAATGATCCCTTTATTTATGGTTTATAAGTCTGCATTTATTATTATGTTTGCTTTGTAATTGTTCTTGAACACTAGTTTTGTTAATATGCATTAATGTTTTCCATTTGCTCGGACGAGATTCTGGCACTTGTGGGCTTGTTTCAATTATCCAACCAGTAGTTCAGCACCTGATGAAATATAGTACTGGTGTGCATCCGTTTATGACTTTTCTACTGACACGTGGTGTTAGGAAAAAAATTGTAATATCAATAGTGGAATCTTTTCATCAATAATAATTCAGTAAAATTAGAACAATCAAATCTTTTTATCTTATTTCCTCTAAAATCAATCCATAATTTTCTCAACGTCGTCAACCTATGATCTCCTCAACCCCGTATCCCCAAACTGATATGATATCCGCTGCGGTAATATACTGATATCCGTCGTCACCCAAATCATCATCTTCCCCCAGCTGCTTAAAAGTTCTACATATTCAACCCCGTTTTCTATCCCATGACCCGTTAAGATACATGTATGATATAATTGCTCACCTGTCTCAATATCAAGTGAAAATGCCGACTCCGTTCCCACTATTTCGTTAATGACATCAAATAAATCTACCCTAACCTGAATAGANAAAAAAAAAAAAAACAAATACCAGCAGCTAACATGTTAGAGAAGGGAACATCAGTTTGTGTGTGTTATATTTTCATATCGTGTGTGCGTGTTATGCAATATGTAGTGTGTAAGTGTGTGTGATGTGTTATCGAGTGTGTGTGTGTGTGCGCTTTGTTAATTTAGTATTTTATTTAGCTTAAATTGATAGACGGGTGAAAACGTAGGTTGTACAAGGATAGGTTGTACAAATTAATACCAGGCGCAGTGCCCAATTGCACAAAAGATAATAATTATATTTTTTCTTTTTTTTTTTGTATTTTATTTGAAAAAACGAAAAGGCACCATGTCAAAAAGTATGTTGTACAAAAATTGGAGGAATTCACTGTGCCTGCCTGTGCAATAATCCAGATCTCTCTCTGTCTCTCATTTCTTAATTTTTGATTTGCATAATTTTAGATATTGTATTTTGATTTTTTTTTTGTGTATAAGGGGTATGTGATTATGTTCTAACGGTTAATTTGTTTATAGCTAGAGGTAGCCACCGGATTGGATTCCAAATCCACCCAAAGGCCAGTTCATTGAATCGACGGTTCGCGGTTCAAAATCGCCCAACTGGTTCCACGCTGAACCGACAAATTAAAACAAATAATAAGAAATCAAAAAAACAATTTTTAAATTCACTGAACCGTCGTTCCAATTTTGAAATCAGTTTGGAACCGAAACCGATGGTTCGATTTGTGAAAAAAACATGAACATGGATCGGCCCGACTAAAACCACGGGCCGGTTGGTCGTTATTCTCAACTTTCATGGCTCTCATGGTCGCTCGGATGTTTCATCCATTACTGTTGTGTGTCATTTTCTTTAAATCTTATGCCCATCAGCCCATCACTTTTTTTCCCCCACATGAGAACCAATCTAGAAATTAAAAATGTCATTTTTTTGTCTGTTTGAAATATATTATTAGTTGGTTAGTTCAAGGCATTGGCCTCTCATCTTTAAATACCCTAAAAAACATTTGGTTAAGTGTTTCTTTGATATTTATCCTGTCCCAGTGTTAGCATTGTGGTATAGTACTATTTGTCTGATTCTAATGTTCCTTGTGCTATTTTGGTGCAAAAAACAATGGTGCAGTGCAAATTAAAAGGTCCTTATATGAAAATAGTACACTTTGATTTTGTAAAAAGGTCCTTATATGAAAATAGTACGCTTTGATTTTGTACACTGTCTGGAAAATTTGACAGGCACTAGGGTTTTATGACGCACTAAAGTGGATTGCAGCATACAGCTAGTATGGTTTTTTTATTTCTTTTTTTTTTTATATGTTTTTAGACTTTGAAATCCTCTTTAACGAATAGAGCTTTTTATTTTTATTTTTATTTGTGTTCTTATTTTTTGTTTTTCCTTAATTTATTCATTCTGTTTTGTGGTATCTTTCTTGGGTTTGGAAAATATTGCTTGTTACCTACTATTTTTTTCAAGCTTTGTAGCATTAACTGGTTTGCTTTTCCTGAGTTTTGACTTGATGTGTTTGTGCCTCGTATGATATGAAAATGACCTCCCAAGAAAGTTGCTATATTTGTCAAAACAAGCCTTTTCTTTGTTCTATTTTCTAAAGAAAGATGCTTCATCTGTCTGCTTTGTAGATGTATATTACCATGTTGTTGGATAACAAGGATATTTTTTTTAGTGAACATAGATAGACTAAATAAATATATAAATCTCTAATTTTTAAAAACTAATAAAAATGTATATTTTTAACACAAATTTTTTAAAGTATTACAACTGAAAAAGAAAATTAGGTAGGCAATTGTTTCCGTTTTGTTCAAAATTTAATGAAATTGAAACCATGAAGGGCAAATTTTTTTTTTATTAGTACCTAATTTTGATAATGGGGATAAATGATTCCTATCGATATGTACAAAACAAATATGTAAACATGCATAATATATAGAATTATTTTTTACAAAACAAATATGTAAATATGCATAGTATATAGAATTATTTTATGCATAATATATAGAATTATTTTTTTGGGCATGTAGCGTTACACGCAGCGATACGCGTCAAATTTAATTTTCTATGTCACAAATATGTTCAGTTATAATAAATCCTTTTATTCTATGGTTTTAACTTTGATATTAATAGAGGCCTACTTGTTCTATATTCATGTTGTAACATCACTTCAAATTAGTATCTCCAATATTTTATAAGTAACCCACAAAATTTGGGAGCTATTATATTATCACCAACAAATAATATAAATATATGTTTTGTTTAAAAGTATTCAAATTATTATCACCGATAGTTTAATAGCTAAGGACAAAATTGACATAATAATAAATTAAAAAAATCCCTCGGATGATACAAACAAACCAGAATTCTAAAGTTGTCGAAAACACTTCCACTAAGATAATAAAAAAAAAAAT